TAGGAAATTGGATTTTGTCTGAGATTGAGGAAGTTTGGAGAGGATTTGGAGGAGAAGTTGGTCAAAGAGGAGAGAGATTGGATCTGAGAGGAGCATAGAGCGATCGAAGAAAAGGGTTTTGTGAGGTTGGGGTTTGGGTTTGGAGAGAGAATGGAGTTTCATAGCAAAGACGACATTGTTGAGAGATTTGTTGTTGTTGAGCCAGAGGTCTGACCAGCTCGATGGTGTTTGTGTTTTCTTCAATGGAGGAACTGGGTTTTGTTTCTCAGGTGAAAAAGACATTGTTGTCTGCGTAGTTTCGAATACAAAGACTAGAACTCACTGTAAATGCCACAATAGCATTGGAAAGAACGAGAAACCTATACTCAGCCATGCCTTTAGATAACCCAATAAACAAATTGGCAATCCCTAATGGACATACATAAAATACATTTATCTAGAAACAGAGTTAATTTTTTTAAAAACAAATTTCATCAAATTAACAACAAAATTCTTTAAACAATTTTTTTTTTTTGGATCTGTTCTAAACAGATTCATACAAACTTTTTTTTTTTTTTAAAAAAAAAAACAATTCACCGAAAACAACAGCTACAATCAATTTCAAAAAAATTATTGGTAATCTCAAACAAATTTCAACAAATCTCAAGCAAAAAACAACAATCTCAAGCAAAGATTCCAAAATCTAAAATAAATTTTAAACAAGAAATACCTATATTTCAATATGCTTACGAGTTTGGGCTTGTAATATGTGATCTACGAATAGGGCTGTGATTTGCAATGAGGGTTTGTGATCTTTGATCTTGTCAACTGATGTTCACCAAAGAGAGATGAAAGAGATGGAGAGAAAGAGGGGGGTAGGATGTCGACTGTGAGAGACCGAACAACAACGAGAAGAGAGAAAGTGAAGGGGATTTGCTGATAGTCCCTTGTTCGTTGAAGAGATTCGATGAACAATAGAGAGAGAGAAAAAGACTCTCACAGTCGTTGGTAAGATAGAGTGAGAGGGGTCGGTGATGAGAAGCTTTTGGATTGGGAGAGCACAAATGAGAGAGAGATAAGAGAATGAAAAAGAATGTAAAGAGAGACAGACTTCTGATGATCCCAAAAAAAAATAAAAATTTAAGGAATTATTTTTTTCAAACAATGATCTTAAGTAATTTTTATTTTTCAATGGTGGAGTGAATTATATATATATATAAATTTAAATTTTAAAATTTAAATTTCTGTTTAGTTAGGTATAAGATAAATATTTAATTTTTAAAAAAAATTATTTATCAAATAAGCGATGTTGGTGACTAACAATTGCTCGGAGGAGAATGCAGGTGACGTCAGTGTCGGCGCTGAAGGAGGAAAAGGGGGGTTGAAGGCAGAGAACTTGTGTTTTGAAAGAAAGGAATGAGAGGAAAACTGAAGTACCATAAAAAAAAAAAAAGAGAGAGAGGGAGGAGATTAGTAGGTTTTTTTTATTTATTTATTTATTTATTTATTTTTTTTTATTACCGCCAATATCACAAAGTTCTTCCCCCAAAATTAGTAATAAATAATTTTCTCACCAAAAATTTTAAAATGTTAAAATTATTGACAATGAAAATATATTCTTCATCAAATAGTTTCAAAATATTTAAAATCAAAATTTTAAAAAATATATTTAAAATTATTGGTGACGAAATTCCTCACTAATAATTTTATAATTGATGACAAATATTTTTCTCACCAAAAGTCTCAAAATTTTGGCACCACCCAAAAAAATTAGAAGGAAAAATCTTTGGTGACGAAATTTAATTTTTTCTCACTTAAAAAGAAGTATTTATTGATGAAAATAAATTTCGTCATCTATTATTTTTACTTTTTTATTATATGTGACAAAATTTTATAATTCGTCACGGATTATTCATTTAGTGACGAAATTTATTTTCTTCACTACTTTTTGTCACCATAGATTTCTTAAAGAGCTAATTAACTTATGTTTTGTTTTAAGAGAGAGAGAGAGAGACAGAGAGAGAGGGGAGAGGAAAACTGATAAACAAAAAAAAGGTGGAGAAGTTAGTAGTCTATTTTTTTTCATTACCGCCCAATATGTCAAAATTTTCCCACCAAATTAGTGACAAAATAACTTCCTTACTAAAAAGTCTCAAAATATTAAAAATTATTAGTAACAAAAATATATTTTTCACCAAATGGTCTTAAAATATTTAAAATCAAGTTTCTCAAAAAAAAAAAAAAAATATATATATATATAAAATTATTGGTGACGAAAATATATTCCTCACTAGTAATTTTATAATTAGTGACAAATTTTTTTCTCACCAAAAGTTTCAAAATTTTTGCGCTGCCAAAACAATTAGCGGGAAAATCTTCAGTGACGAAACTTAATTTTTCCTCACCTAAAAGGAAGTATTTGTTGATGAAAATAAATCTCGTCACCTATTATTTTTATTTTTTATTATATATGACAAAATTTTATAATTCGTCACAAATTATTCTTATTTAGTGACGAAATTTATTTTTTTCACTACTTTTCGTCACCATAGGTTACTTTTGTTGTAGTTTGATAGAGCCGCGTGGAGAACAAGAATTCATGTAACCGATCCCATTTGATGAGATTTAAGGCTTTGGTTTAATTTAATTTGGTATAGAAAATCCCTCAGTTAGGTTTCTCACTTGTCAAAACATTATATAAGCAATTCTACATGATACTCAAAATTATCTAATAATTTTTAAGAAAGTAGGTGATATATTCAATATCGGAAAATAATATACAAGTTCACTTAACCACCTTTTAGACCTAATAGTTTATAAGTAAGATGATTGGTTGATAATTAAAGAAAATATGAGAACTTAATAATAATAGACACGTTAATCTTAATACTCTCTTGAAATAAAATTGAAGGATTATATCCTCTCTAATTGAGCATGATCCAATTCATGCTACTTTGGACCTAACTCGACAATTTGAACTATTCATCTTATATGGTTTGCCGAATAAATTAAATTGATTAGATATCGAAAATCACTTGATCGAATCACATTTTTTTTGAAAAAAATTAACAAACATTATGATTTTAACAATAGTCCATCTATTTTTTATTTTATTCTACTACACAAATGAGATTCTATCAAATAGGCTATTTACCTACTAAATTAAGTTGATTAGATATCAGAAGCCACTTGATTGAAACATATTTGTTTGAAAAGTAATTAACAAACGGTATGATTTTGAAAATAGTCCATCTATTTTTATTTTTTTTTTTCACATAAATGAAATTCGATTAAGTTGGATATTTAAGAAATTACCTATTTTTATTTTATTTTTTCATCTCTCTTGTTTTTTTTTTTTTTTTTTTTTTTTTTTTCTGCTTTTTTGGAATGAATTTGTTTAGTAATTACCTAGCTTCTTCTTCCAGTATTAATTAATTTAGTATAAGCCTCCGTTTGGGAAGTGGGTTAGCTTTTTGCCTTTTTGACTTTTTTGGCTATTTTAGTCTGGGCTAAAAAGCTTAGTTTGGGAAGGGTTTTTTGGTTTTTTGACTTTTTTGACTTTTTTTGTGAGAGAAGAGTGTAATGATTATGCGTTGGATATGATGTTTTGTTTGTTGTGACTAAAATAACTTATTTTGTCTTTTGTGACTATTTTAGCCACAAAATCACTTGCCAAACGCCACCTAAATAAGGTTATAAACGGATTATTTAATGAGTAATGGTTGAGACCCCACCCCATAAGACCCTCACAAGATCCCCACAAATTTGAACCACTCATAATGTAGACCCCACACATACATGAGTGGGTCCCACACATACATAGAGGGCCATGATCACTTTGGAAGCGTGGGGTCATCCCCAAAAATAGTCCCAAACATTTTCCTTATTCAATTTATGTTTGATTAATAAAAATTTAGAGCTTAATATTATCCGTTCTTAAAAAGAGTATATTCAAGTATAACTTAGGGTCTAAGGGTGTGCTTCTCATGTTCAATTCCCATTAGGAGTAATCTGCTCCTTGGGGCCACGCCCGCGATTCTGCCCAAGATTGGTCTGATCAACGTAGAAAGGGCACTTTATGTAAATCTCCAAATTAATGATGCACATAAACTGATCCGAATATCCAATGATTAAAAAAAGATAGGGCAAATTATACTCATAGTCCTTATAATTTGGAGCTCGTGTCACTTTAGTCCTTGACTTTTCAATTGTGACACATTTGACCATGAATTTTGAATATTGCTTCAAATAAGGACAATTAAACAAACCCTTGCTTAATTTCAAGGGCAAAATCGTCAATTTGATAAAATATAAACTAATTTGACAAAAATAAATGTCAAAAAAATATTTTAAAATTTTTAAAAATTATTTCTATCCACCAAAGATAAAATTATGTAAAATTGATAAAAATTAATAAAAATTACATGATTAATTTTTAAAAATTAATTTTACATGATTATCATCTAAATACATAATAAAAATTAATTTGGTAAAAAAATAAATAAATGTCTAAAAGATATATCAATTTTATATAATTTTATCTTTAGTAGGTAGAAATAATTTTAAAAAATTCAAAAATAATTTTTTGACATTTATTTTTGTCAAATTAATTTATATTTTATCAAAGTGACGAATTTACCCTTAGAAAATCCAATAGTATCTTCAATTGTCCTTATTTGGAACAAGATTCAAAATTTAAGATCAAATGTATCACAATTGAAAAGTTAGGGAGCAAAGTGACACAAATTTCAAACTATAAAGATCGTTGGTGTAATTTACCCAAAAAGATATGTCTAATAAAATCTTTTTAGTTACTTAAGAATATTTTTGAAAAGATGATTAAAAGTAAATTTTTTAATTTTTTTATTATTTTATTTGAGAAATAATATGAACAAAAATAAATTAAAAATAAACTTTTAACTTTCCTAGTGGTTGCCAAAACACGCTTACTTTTCTAGTTGACTGATGATACTATAAAACACCCAATGACGTTGTGTCTGGTTGTTTTATATCTTTAAAAACGGTAATACATACCTACATACACATTACAAACCCGATAATATATGGAGTGCAGGAAATTTGAGCTAACCCTAATCTCTGCAAGCGATCTCGAAGATGTTCGAAAACTATTCAAAATGAAAGTTTACGGGAGGGTCTCTATCGGAGGCAACCCAGAAACAGAGAGGAGAACTCCAACAGACAAGCATGGCGAGACCAACCCAGCGTGGAACTTCAGCTTGAAATACACCATAGGTGAGTCTGCTGTGAAAAACTACGGAGTCATGGTTGTCATCAAGCTTTACTGTAAGCGAAAGCTCGGCGACAGATATATTGGGGAGGTTCATACGTCAGTTAAAGAGCTTTTCGATTCGTGCGTTTATGGAGGCAGCGCGGTGGTGAATTTCCCGGTGATGAAGGGTTCCTTAAATTCTCAGGGAGTTTTGAGGATTGCTTATAGGTTTGGTGAGAAAGTGAATGTTGAGAAGCTTCTTTTGGCTGAGGGTTTTGCAGATTGGATTCGATGTGTTGACTGATATTCTACTTTTCGACAATTATGACCATGTTCATGTTATGTACCCAAAATCCTGCACTCGTATCTACATAATCGTGTGACTCAAGATTTTCACCATATTGTACGATTGAGTGTTTGTGTAAACAATCATCGAGTCTTGTAGCGTTGGTGTAGTTATTGTTTTAGAAATGGTCAACCTATGGAAGATGATGATGATGATAAAATATGTTCCTTCCCTCTGTTTGTCCAATCCAAGAATAGAAGTATGCTTTTATTTGATTTTCCTAGATACATTTTATATTTTGTTGAGCCTTTTTTTGAGCTTTTTTTTTTTTTTTTGATTAGTAAAACAAAACTTTATTGATGAAAGAGGTCATTATAACACAAAAAGCATCAATAAAGGCGGGCAAGTGCAACAAGAACTATAGTATATCATACCCATCACACAAAAAGCATCAATAAAGGCGGGCAAGTGCAACAAGAACTATAGTATATCATACCCATCCCAACTATGTTGACACTGGAACAAACACCTAATCATGTGCTATTACTGCAAGTTTGGTGAGAAACCAAACAAAGAAAACAAAAAAACCAAACCCATTAACACGACAAACAACACCCAACAGTAAACACTACAACAGGACTAAACAACAGAACACCACTATCAAAAACCAAAAGGACCAAACAAGACATCTTAATTAACATCTAATCTGTTGCAGATTGGAGATGAAATCCTGCACTGTACAAGGGCAGTCCTTGGTGTGAGCTTTTACCCAGAAAATAATTCTCAACTTAATCAAATCTCTTCCCATTGAACAACACATCATTTCTACACCTCCATGTTGACCACATGATTGCCAAAGGCATTGTTCTCCAGATCTTGTTCTCAAGCTTTCTCCATTTAAAACCCCTCCACCATTGAAGAAGACCATCCACACTAGCAGGTACAACCCACTGCATCCCCCACCAGTTCAAAAGATCAGACCAAATTGGCCAAACAAAAGGACACCAGAGCATCACATGAGACACTGTTTGTTGAGCTCTTAATTGTAGATTTATTGGGTATGTTTGGTTTGTATTTGAGAGATGTGTTTTAGAGATAAAAAGTACGAAAAGTTATTTGATTTGGTTTTTTTCAAAAGATGTTTTGGAAAATTATTTTGATAGAGAGTTTTGAAAAAAATGATTGATTTGATGTGTGTGAGAGAGAGATTTGTTTGAAAAACTTGTTTGGTTTACAAGTTTTGAGAAATTTTTTTGAAAAAATTTGTTTGGTTTAATTACTTTTAAAAACTTATTTGTAGAGAAAATTTCTTAAAAATTTTTCAGAAATGGAAGCCAAACGAACCCATTATCTTTTGGTCCAAATATAAGGTTCTTTTGTTTCATTGACGTTTGTTTGATGATGGTGTCTTTTATGATGTATTTGTATTTGTCTTTTTTGATCGGAAAGACTCACGATTTATACAGGGCGGTTTTTAGGGAATTTGGGTTTCGGTTAAAATAATTAATAAAAATAAAGTAAGTTAAATAGTTAATAAGATAAAATATCACATTTAAAATATAATTATTTTATTTTTTCTTTCAAAATTGTTAAATCAATTATAAAAAAATAAAAAGATTTATTATCTTTTGGTCCAAATGTAAGGTTCTTTTGTTTCATTGACGTTTGTTTGATGATGATGTCTTTTATGATGTATTTGTATTTGTCTTTTTTGATCGGAAAGACTCACGATTTATACAGGGCGGTTTTTAGGGAATTTGGGTTTCGGTTAAAATAATTAATAAAAATAAAGTAAGTTAAATAGTTAATAAGATAAAATATCACATTTAAAATATAATTATTTTATTTTTTCTTTCAAAACTATTAAATCAATTATAAAAAAATAAAAATAATTATCATCACAAACACAACTTTTTTCGACAAATTAAAATAGTTAAAAACTAAAAAAACAACTAAAATAGTATATTTTTAAGTAGGGTCACAATGGAAATGTTTACAATGCTTTGTGCACTTGCCTTTTTTTTTTTATTGATGATTGATGTACTTTGATGATTTTATCAATAAAGTTTTTCTTTTTCATTGATTAAAAAAAAAAAAAAAACCTTATAAACTAAGAAAAGAATCAGGGAATTAATACGAAGATGCTAATTTTCCTTTCGCAGATTAAAAATAGTAATAATAATAATTTTATGATAAAAAAATGCCATCATCCAAACATTATTGATTACATAATTGGGCCACAAAAAGTCGAAAGCGTGAATAAATTTGAGTCATATGATTAATTTAATGTGTGTCCCTAATATTGTTTTTTCTCTAGCATTCTTAATTTCTTATTTCAAATACCAGGCTGAGGTGGATGCTATGTAGGAAAACCATCAGTGAGAAGATAACTCAAGCATTTGATTTCAAGCATTATTTTCTTGAATAATCTAAGACGTTATATGATTAAAAATCACTTGAAAGCATTTGAACAGACTAATCTTTAATCAGCATATATAATTGTTCTCTCTAATAGGGTATATGATTATGATAATATGGTTCTTACTGTGCCAAAGAGGCATACAGAGCAGCAAAAGGAGGCATGAATGCAAATAGGACTGGATTCTTTGTTCTAAAGTTTTCATATTCATCTATCTAAAATACTATCAGTCACACAATTTGGATCCAAATTTTCATATTTTTTATATTGGGGTGCTTGGAAAGTTGTGTTAGAGACTAAAATAGCTAATAAAGATAAAATAAGTTAAAATAGTCAATAAGACAAAGGCCTCTTTTGGGAAAGCAAAAAAAAAAAAAAACCAACTTATTGGCTTATTGGTTAGAGATTATATTACTTCTTTACTTTTTTACATATTTTTTTGTAATAAGCCAAAAAAAAAAAAAAAAATCAAAAAAAAAAAAAAATCCCAAAATAAGGCAATATATCATATTCAAACTATAATCATTTTACTTTTTCTCTCATAACTATCAAATCAATTACAAAAAAAAAATATATAAATAAATGAATAAATTCAACTATCATCTCAAACACAATATTTTTAACCAAGTCAAAATAGTCAAAAAATTTAAAAAATTAACTAAAATAGCTTATTCCCACACGGGCCAATATGTTATTATGAACATATGTATCGGGACAAAAAGACAAAAATAATAATAATAATAATAATAACAACAATAATTTGATGTACACCAAATATAAATGATTTTAATAACTTAGGAGTTGTTTGAAATTTAATTATTTAATATACTTTTTAATTTTTTTCATAAAAATACATATAAAAAAATTAAAAATATAATATGAATCAAATAAATACATTTATCAAATAAGTACATTTATTTTAATGCGGGGTAAAGAACATCTTATTTATGACTTTCAAGTTTGTTGAACGATCACAATCCAAACAACTCATGCAAGAGTAGTTAAGCAAGTTTTTTTAAAAAAAAGACTTGCACAAGTCTACGATTAAAATGATAACAAAAGCGACCAATAATATATATATATATACACATACTAAAGCTGCAAGAAAGCACCTTGTTGGGGGTTAAAAAAAAAAAAACATAAATTACACTGACACCCCTTGAGGTTTGGTTCAATTATATTTTACCATTGACATTTTAGAAATTACATTCTCACTCACGCGGTTAATAGTCTCATTTTACAAACTCCTCTTCTTATACAAAAAGGTAACAATTCCTAATAGAAAAACAAAGAAAATTATATTGGAAAAAAAAAAAGTAAAGCAAATGAAAGGGGAAAAAAAAAAAAAAAAAAAAATGAAGTAAAGCAAAGTAAGAAAAGAGAAAGTGTATGAATTGTGTGGGGACATATTTTAAGAGTGACAACACGTGGCTAAGGTGATGCCGAAGTATCAGCCGAGGTGCCATGTGGCCTGGTCAAGTTGCCGAGATAGGTTATATGCGGAGATACCAGAATCCGAGATAAGTAGATAAGGGACAAAAGTCCCAGAACAAAAGAGGATCTTAGCCTGGATAGAGATAAGGCTCAAGAAGAGTTTATCTCTATCTAGATAAGGGTCCATCACAAGCATGGAGCCTGAGTCCATTGAAGTAAGGTTTCTAAGGGGATCAGGTCATGGTAGGTTACAAAAGCAAGGCACCCTCGTGGGCCTGTGGTAAGTTTTTACTTGTGAGTTTAAGCACACTTTGTTATCTTTGAGAGATATCGATTACTGACTTGATCGTCGGAGTGCCCCTAGGTAGACGAACCACCGCCGGAATCTTTTCTTTCTGTGACAGGTTGTTCATGCTTAATCTATTCTGTCGGTGCTCTCTAGCTGAATACTAGTTTAGCAGTGTGGTCAGAAATCGACTCACACAATTTGGCGCCGTCTGTGGGAAAGACAAGAGAATAAATGGCCAACGACGGACAGAAAGAGAAAGTTGGGAACGACATTCCTACTGGGAGTGGGAAACATATTGACCTTGACGTCAACAAAGACAACTATAGCGAAGAGACTCGTGATAAGAATCACGGAGAAAAAGACGTCGGCAAGGAAGGCGATGGAACAAAGAAATCGGACCGAGGCGGGTATTATAACGAAGACGACCTCCAGGTATGGAACGATAGATGCCTGCGATGGGACGACGAGATGAAGAAAATAGTAAACAAATTGGCGAACCTGCAAATGGTTGTCAATTTCATGATGCAGAACAACGTCATGCAGCCACCGTTTCCCCGTTACAAGATACGCCGATTCCAGCGGCCAAGAAAGGTGCCCAGAAAGGGGGGCAGAACACAGTTCCTGCAGTCCCTCAACACGACAGGGCAAAAGGTATTCTCACCGGTCTTCACGGGAGGTCAGGCATGGCGAATGATGCTTGAGAGTTGAAATTTTCAAGCCAAGATCGGTTTAACACTTGTTGAAATTTTAAAGAAAAATTTACAAGTTGAAGTTAAACCGTGGTCATGTTTAACACTTGTTGAAATTTTAAAAATTTACAAGTTGAAGTTAAACCGAGGACATGTTTAACACTTGTTGAAATTTTA